CCCATCCCCAATGTCAATCTCTCCCTCTCCCAAAGAAATATTATATTGAAAGTTTTATCATTACTTTGCTTTTTCAAATAGATCTGTCAGGTATGAGTATATTTGCATAATCTATTTACAATATTGAGCTGATTTTGAGCTTTATAAATATAGATGCATGCTACATGTGTTGTAGAGAGAGTGAAACTGTGAAACAACCACCCAATGAAATATTGTTACAGTAATGAAAATGAATGTTGCCACACACAATGCCATGGACAAATGAAGCTCAGAGGCATAGTGTTATATTAAAAATAGCAAAGTTGAAGAAGACAATATCGATCATTCATCTTTTTATATGATTATTGGCCATTTCCTCTTTGAGTTTCTGGTTCATATCTTTTGTCTCTTTTTCTTTTAGATTATTTTTTGTTACTAATTTGTTAGAATTCTTTATAAATTTTAGAAGTGTCCCCAAGATTAGTGTACTAGGAATTACTTGAATCTTAAGACACATTTCCAAGAGTAGAATTTAAAATTACCAAACCAATAAACAAAAAACACCCTGGAAGGTATTGGGGGGAAAATAAAAGAATAAAATTCACAACAAATTACACAGACTCTTTAACTTCTTGGCTGAAAATTCTAAGGGTCAGAGACTCAACAAAGTCTTTAAGCTCTATTTTCAGGTAAGAGGCTATTTACATAAATCCACAGTGCACAGAGGTTCTATTTCCTATTTCCTTTGCCACCAATGGGAAATGCATTATTTAACTTGGGATATGCCCCCGCCCTTAAACATTTCCTAAGATAGACCAATGAATTACTGTTCTTCCTAGCAGTGAGTTTATATTGGCACTAAGGAAAAATAGACTGCTTTAACCCCTGAAGAGTCACATTTCTCTCACTTAGGTCACTTGATAGGGCCATTAGAGACTCAGATAAGACACGTGGGACTCTGTTTAATATCGGGCAATTTTCTTGTGCCTCTTCATTTATTAAAAGAATGTATCCATTAGCAGTCATTAGTACATTCTGTCACGATGTGGGTTAAATCATCCTCAATGGCTTAGAAGAAAATGCGTTTTCAAGAAAAATAATGGCATTAATTGCTCAGTGGAATAGATATGACTTTCTTTGCCATGACCTCTGCCTCCTCCCCACCCCCTCCCAGGCGGAACCAGACACTGCTTACCTCTGTCAGAGATCCAGGCCACTTTCCCCCTGCCCTGTGAGTCAGCTCCTTGCTCCAGCCTGTGGCCTCTCTGGTGGCAGGCCACTCTCCACAGGGACTAGAGCACCTCATCCATCACAGTGAGGAATCAGAATGATTCCTCCTGCTCTCTGATTCATCCAAGGGAGAGAAAGGACAGAGACGCCTCACTTAGCAAACAATCTCATTTGAAGGGACGCTGTTTTAGCAACAGGAAGCAAATCACATTAGAGAACTAATCACCCTCCTGTGGCTCCAAACTGAAACCCATCTCCTTTTGACCTTTTGTTTGAAACATGTGCTCTCTGGAAAATGTAGTTCAAGGAGGGAGACATAGGGTGTGTGCATGTGTTAAAACAAGTTCACGAATGAAACACGTTTTCTATGTAGCTTTCTAATTAAACACCTTAAAGTTTAATTATTGAAAAGCTTTCATCTCCTAAATATGGATATCTCTCCAGGCTTTGCCTTTGTCTTACTTCTTCCCTCTCAGGTCACATCCGTTCTCACAGACATTAATAATTACATTTAATTAAAATATCCTCAAGTGAAAGTAATAAAATAGCAACCAATAGTGACTTAAATGACAAAGACATTTAATAAACTTCTGTGTAACAAGAAGTCTGGAGGTAGCAATTCCAGACTTTGGTCAGCAGCTCAGCAAAGGCACCAGGGACCCAAGGCTCTTCCCGTCTTTCTGCTTGGTCACCATCAGTGTGTCAGCCACATCTCTCAAGACGGCTATGCTACTCCCGGTCTCTCATGACAGGGTCACAAGCAGGAAGGAAGGAGATGGAAGCAAAATGGGCCTTTTCCTCATGGAGGTCTCTTTTATCGGGAAGAAAATCCTTCCCAGAAGCCCCCGAGTCTCATGGGCCAGACCGGATCACATGCTCACCCCTTGACCAATCAAAGGGAAATGAGAGCCATATTTTGACTTGGGTGAATCATGATTTACCCCCTTCATTTGGGCAGTTTCAACCCAAATGCAGGTGGGAATAGCTGTTAAGGAGGCAACAGCTCCTTATTTTCAGCCCTGACTGTTCTCACCTCCAATTGCACCTTCCCAACTACCTCTGGGCCTCACTGCTTCATTATCCTGTCACCTCAAACTCTGTCTGTCAGGGAACAAATGCCTTTTCTTATCTCCTAATCCCTTATCTGCATTTCCTGACTTTTCCAGGGGTCGTTTCATTCACCCATCACAGAGGCTGTGAACCTCAGAATCGCTTTGATGGCTTCTCTATCAGGACTTCTGTGCTCAGTTGGTCCCCAGAAGCAGTCAATTCTTTGTCTTCCAAACATTTCCCACTCTGGCTCCTCGTTTTCACTCTTCTTGCTACTCTTTCAGTCATGTTGGCCCAGTTGCACATGGACCACTTCATCTGAAATGGGCCCCAGACTCCAGGGTCATGCACTCTGCAACCAGATTCACCCTGTTAAAGCCCGCGGTCCTCATCTCTCCCTTGTCTCCAAACTTCTTAGCTTGGGTTTTAAGATTTTCTACAACATTACCTTTTGAAAATGATTCCCCATTATTCTCTGCTCCAACCAAACTAGTCAGTTCATTGTTCCCTAAAATACGCTTTATGAGATCCCGTCACCACACATATGTCCACACCATTCCCCCACATAAGGATACCTTCCTGCTTTCTCTCTCCTATCTGAATCCTACCTGGCCAACTTATGTCTCACTGCTGAAATCTTAAATATTCTAGGGTACAATGAGTGTTTTCTCCTCTGAATTCGAACATGCTGGTGGAATTATGAATCAGTTTTTAAAAAGAAACTTTAGCGTTAAATAATTAGACAAGTGTAACTCTGCTGCGGCCGTATGACCAGTGCTTTGCAATGTGCAGCAGTAATGCTTGCTTAGTAAAATAATGACATAATACCCATTGTTGAATACTGAGGAAAGTTTTTAAAAGATTTCATTCAGTTTATTAAACTTCAGAAAGTTCAGAGCCCTTTTAAAAGATAAAGATAGTGACATTCTCAAACTGGGCTGCAACAGATTTTTCAAAGAGTACCAGTTAATCTACACAATCTGATGTCATGTGAAGAGACCATTCATTCATCCATCCATTTGTAGCCAGGAAAGTGCAATTTTATTACCTGACAACTGCCACCAGAATTCTTGGCAGGAGAACTCTCTATATTTAGGAAAATATCTTGACAAATTGCATGGGGGTAATGAGTGAGGTTCAGACAGAATTTGACTATACTCTTTGGATCAGGATGACATGCTCATGTCTAGGTAAGTGAATGACTTAGCTTTTTAACCATTTCCTCATAAAGAAACACTAAACCACTTGAAAAATTGCAAGGTTATCATGATAGAGCCTGGAGTAGAAAACCAGAAGACACACAGAACTATTTTCTATTCAAATATTTTACAAAAACTATAGCTAAAGAGTAGGAGGCCTTGGGCTTCGCTGTTAAGATTAGGTGAAGGTGGGTCTGGTACCAAGTTGCCCATGTGGCTTCTCTGAAGGAAATTCTCAGAGTACAGTTTTTGTCGCTATCTAGGGTTTATAAACCCACCAGGAATTCTGGCTTTGTCACTGTATTTTATTTTCTATATGTATGCACACATTTATGTTTATCTTTCATGAGACTGAGTCCTCATTTTTTGATTCACATTTCATTGGTAAATTTGTCTATATCAGTAGTGATGCTTTTGGCTATAAATAACAGAAAATTCCATTTCAACTGACTCATTCCCTAAAGGAGATTTATTGGACTATGTAACTGAAAAAGTCCATATGCTGGGTAGTATCAGGTGCTGTTCCATCAGCGTCCAAGTCTGCCTCTTTATGATTTGCTTGCCCCCCGCCTTTTGTGGGTTGGCAAAATAGTCAGGCTGGCAGCAATGTGACTGGAGTATTTCCTGGTCTTTAGTCTGGCCATAACCATGTCCCCCTATGAGATGGACTATCTTGTCCACTAACACCACTCTTAAAAGCAGGAACCCTCTTAACCAGAAACTTTCCATTTCTACCAAACTTTCCATCGCATCTCATTGGCCAGAGTTTGGTCACATGCACGCTCTGAACCAATCCCCTTGGCCTGAGGAATGCCACACACTGATACCTAAACTAATCTCTGTCACAAGGGGGCAGGATTACTCATAGACCAGACAAGCCCACACTGTGACTAGAGGTAGAATCAGCTTCCCTAAGTCGCATGCCTGCATGGGTGCAGAGGTATCTCTGAGCAAAAATCAGGGTGCTGCCAGAAATGGACAAAAGGAAATAGATGCTGGGTAGACATCTTCAAAGTTCATTCTGTACAAAATTATAGAATACCTATCTCTTCCCAAAGACCACTGAACAGGATACAGCCAGGTCTGATAACCAAAGGCTGTAATGTTCACAGAATTCAAGTCTGCCAGATCTTTATCTAATAAAGTCTAAAAATTTCCACAAGGAAATGAGAAACATGTAAACAATTGCAGCTTGTGGGTAACTGTACACCAGCATACGTGAAACCAATTGTTTCCACTCCATATGGGATACTAATCAGCTTAATTATATGGGAAAAAAAACAGTAAAGAACCAAAACTGCTCTGGTGCTTCATCAGAGCAAAACAAAAGCTGAAAAATATACTTTTTTCAAACAGAAAAATAGGTGAGACGTTGGAAAGGATTTTTTTTATTTTTTTTTACCAGAGGAACATAAAAAGCTGGAAAATATTCTCTCTTTAGATAGAGAAAAAGATACAACGTTGGGAAAGATCCACCAGAGGCTGAGCAGCTTTTGACTGTCAATCATTAATATCCATTTTTATTCTGCCACCATGGTTACACTAACAATTGACTTCATGCTTTCAAAATACCGTGTTTATCAGTTTTGTGGGTATGTGGGCAGTCTGTCAATACCTCCTTGCTTTGGGCTCAGATTAGCTGAGAAGTATAGTTGATCCATTCTTCCAACAAAACATCTATTGAGGGCCTTTGATGTACCAGGCAGCCCTGTGCCTGTAGCATAGTCACATGGTCAGCAGGCTGTCTTTCTTTCCTTTCAGAGGAAGAGGGTGTCTTTGAGGCCACCATCTAGTGTCCCTAGGGACATTAGATCCTTTTTCTGAGCAGCCTTGATCCTTCCTCTGATGTCAGCTCAGATGGGTCACTGACTTATTGAACTCCCACTACCAAGAAATGCTATGTGGGAAGATAAGAGAAAAATCATTGACATAACTCGAGCTCCTGAGCACCTCACAACCTTCCTGGAGATACAGCACCACCAAAAAAGGAAGAAGAGCACACACATATCAAAAAGTTGATGAACCAAGACCCAAAGTATAGGCAATGTAAACATGAAATTTGTCTTCCAATTCCCAGGTTAACATGGTAAGTGTGCAGGATGGGAAGGGAAACTGGCACGAAAGGAAAACAGTGTGAATGGATGAGTAAAGGCTAAATAGTGGAAGGCCTTGGAAGTCAAAAATAGAAATAGACCCAATGGGCTAAGGAAAATGGGAAATAGTCCACATCTCAAAAGTTTCTTTGCCACTCCTCAAAAAGTCATGCCTGTTGATGTGGCCAGTGTGGTGTAGTAGAAAGGGTAAATAAAGCCTCTAGTGTCCAACCAACCTGGGGTTGAATCCTGGCTCAACCACTCAGCAGCCATGTGACCTTGGGAAAGTTACTCATCCCCTCTGAACCTCAGTTTTCTCGTGTAAATAAAGTTCATATTCTAAAGTTGTGCCATCCAGTGTGGTAACCAAAACCCATCTGTAGCTATTGTACTTGCAATGTAGCTAGTCCAAATTAATATGTACTGTAAGTATGAAATACACACCAGGTTCGGAAAACTTAGTACGAAAAGAGAAAAGGGAGAGAAAGATCTCATAATTATGATTATGTGCAGAAATAACATTGGCTATAATGGGTTAAATAAAATACCTTATGAAAATTAATTGCATATGTTTCTTTTTACTTTTCTTAATGTAGCTACTTAAAAAAATTAAAATTACCTAGCCATAATGTTAGGAAACAATATTTTTCTCTAATGGAAACTGGAAATAAGGTTTCATTTCCTTAATGTCTTTAAAATCAATGAGTATGGTAATTTGTAAACATGACCCCAATTTCTAGCCAAGCCCTTTGGGCTGGACTTGTTACTTGCTTGGCCAATGGGTCTTTAGCCACACGATGCAAACAGAGGCTATGAAACTGCTTGTGCATCAGGGTTTACTCACTTGCTGCTCTTGGGAACCCGGCAGCCAACATTAAGAGAGTAAGGCCAAGCTAGCCTCCTGGATGATGATACATGGCCAAGTTTTCCCCACCCTTCCCCCACCAACTGACATGTAGTCAATCACTACACATGTAAATGGGGCCATTCCTGGACCATCCAGCCCCACCTGAGCTGGTCCAGCTGACCCATAGAATCATAAGATATTATACATGTTTTATCATAAGTTTTTGGGTGTCTTGTGCAGCAGAAGTTAAGTGGTAGAGTGTAGATGGGTCCATGCCAACCATGATATTAGCAGAATCTTTACCCCAGTCTGGGGGAGAATGGAGACTGGTAAAATCCTGTTAATCTGGGCTCTGTTAGGGGGTGAGCTTTGCAGCTTCACACACACACACACACACACACACACACACGGATATACACCACCCACATACTCAAAACTCAGATGAAAGTTGGACATGTTGGTCCAGACAGATTGAAGATCTCACCCAGGGTTTTCTAACCCTTTTTGACATAAGGACCTCTTTTTCTGGTGGCAAAACACTTGCACACCTGTACTACTCTGGCAGTTGTTGCTAATATCTGTTGATGGAGAATAGATATAATGCCCACAGAGCCCCTGTTAGTACTTATGTGAATTTATGAAATTAAGGTAAAAAAGAGATTTCTAAGTGGATCAATTAGAAAATGTTGCCATTTCTTCTCAGGGTTGGCTCAACCCCAGAGTGGGACAAATGGCTCATGGAAGGGCTGGTTTTTAGCCCTTGTATGAGCCCCCTCTGCTGGGTGCCTTTGGCCAGAGGACAACTGTTGCAACCATAGGGAGGCTCTGATAACCCAAAGACACTACGGGTTCAGAAAGGCTTTGAAATAAGATTGTGTTTGGTTCATAACAATGGTGCCTGGATGAATTTGAAAAATAGTCATTCTTTATTCTACAGACAAAGCTTTGGGAGTTGAAAGGGGTTCAGGGACTTCTCACCATAACTTTACCCCTTCCCAAGGGTCTGTAATCCACCACTGGCTTAAGACCACTCAGGGCTGCGTCCAGGAGTAGACATTGTCCCCCTCTGGCCCAAACATTTGGTTCGCAACTGCAGATCAAGTGTGAGAATTGGGGAAGGAAGTTTGGTAGCACCTTACCACTTTGCCCCAAAGCATAAATCACAGGATTTGGTGCTAAATAAACCTCTTTATATTTTGTTCACACATTTTTTGTATGGAAAAAAAAATGCCTACAAAAGAATAATCTTAACATAAAATTCTGAGTTACTAATAAGCCTTACTTTTAGCGTTGAGTTAATTTAGCCAAGTATCCCAGCATAACCAGCATAACCACCTTACAAGCTGCTTCAGTGTATCAGGTTTTCCCTTTAAAAAGGCAAATATCCAGAGATGGACATTGGAACACTATCCTCATTTCTCACATCCAGCCAAACACTGAGGTAAAGAAAATAGTGAAATATGCCTTCATGTCTGTCAACTGTTCTCTTGAGATTACGTGATTCTTTGTTACAGTGCATTGTGTTTATATAAGGTATTCACTTTTTTAAGCCCTTTCATTAAACCACAAATCATAAACCAAAGGCCAATTTTTAAGAGTTAAAATGAATTTTTGTTTTCACAATAATCTTATGGGATAACAGCACAAGTATTATATTCTTGCTAGCTTAAGAGATTGGGGGAAATTGAGAAACAGAGATGTATTCTCAAATTATTAACTGAACTAGTCAAGGCAGAGCTCTCTCTACTATATGAAGATGCTTTATATAGGGCAAGGTTAAATCACAAGTACCATATTTTTTAACTTTTTAGCTAACCTAAGACAGTGGTGTAGCAATAAATGTTTAAAGCTGGATCTCCAAGTGAAAAAGCCCTGATGTATAGCACTTGCCAATATCCATGGTGTAAATACTCCCAGGATTAAGGCAAATGAGACACTGGGGGCACAATTTAAGAAGGCATGTGCTCTCAGGATTGAGTAAATACAGTCAGCCCTTACAGTGTCTCCTTAAATTATATGCTCTAGGTACCTCATTTGCCTCACCCTTGCTTTATCTGGTCTTGCAACAAATGCCCAAAGAGGCCAAGTTTACCTGGCTAGTTGGCCTCAAAACTAGAACTAGTACAGATCCTCTAACCCCAAGTCTGGCATCTTCCCCCTACTGTCAGCTGCCTTCAGCTTTGCCCACACTTCCAATGAAAGACCTTCAAAACTAAGCAGGAAGTTTTATGCACAGCTAGAACAGTGATGCTCAATCCAGATGACACATAAAATATCCTGCGGTATATAATTAAAAATTATACCTCAATTTTTAAAAAGTGAACACAGAGATAGGCACAGATACTGAATAAATATTTGCTAAGTAAAAAAAAAAAGAAAGAAACACAGGGAGACATGTTTTTTTCATTTTGTTAAATTGGAAGCTTTTCACTCTCTAAATAAAACAACTAAATTAGTCTCGGTTATTAAAATAGCTCTCTGAGGCATTGTTTGTGTTGCAGCCCAGCATCTCCTCTGCTCTGAAACTTAAGATCTGCTCAGCTGCCTGCACAGTCATGGATGCCCTGTTCTCAGCACAAACTATTTGCCTTGGAGAACCAACAAAATCTGATATTAGAAATCATGGTATCTCATAGTACAATAAATAGCTTGTGAATTTAAATGCAACAGTGATAGTTAATAAAAATTGAATGTTTGCCATATGCCAGACACTATAGGTAATATGCACAACAATCCTTTGAAGTAAATAAAATGACCTTTTTTTTCCAACAGGACCACTCCAGGTGCTATGTTGAGAACAGGCTACAGGGGATGGGGGTGGGGATGGGGTGAACAAGACTGGAAGCAAGGAGCTGTATTAGGAAGCTGTGGCAATGTCCAGGTGAGAGGTGATGATGGCCGGGTCCATAGTGAAGGGGGTAAAACCCGATTGCATTTCGGATGTTTTGCAGACAAAGTCCACAGTCTTTACCATCAGATTGGATTTGGAGTGTTAAAGAAAGAGAGGAGTCCAGAGTGCCTTACAGGTTTTGGAGCCTCTGAACCACAGAAAGGATAGAGTTGTCATGTCCTGGGATGGGGAAGACGGAGGAGAATCAGATTTCAGAGGACAGAAGGTCAAAGGTTCAGCATGCTAAACGTGAGACGACAACTAGCCATCCAGTAGGGTTTGCAGGTGGACAGTTGGATAGTTGAGTCCAGAGTTCGGAGGAGGGGTCAGAGTTGGAAGTGAATGATCTACAGACACGACACTGGATACATTGCCATTGGGTGTGGTGATATAATAAGGATGCGGGAGGCAGGAAAGAGAAGAGGTTTGAGGGCAGGAATCAGGCACACTGGAATCTGGAGGCATGGACGGAAGGAGGGACCAGCGAAGGAGACTGCGAAGGAGCAGCACACAAGGTAAGAGGAAAACTGGGAGAGGGTGAGGGTCCTGGGAGCTGAGCGAAGGGAGTATATTAATAAAGGGGAAGATCTACTGGGTCAAGAAGATCCCAGAGGTCAAACCTCTAGTGAGGCAGCCAGAGGCCTGAGTGGCCAGTAGGCTTCCCCGGGCCCTAGTCCAAGAGGCCACTTTTCCTTCCTCTCTGTCACCTTGCCCATTTCTATCTCTGTCACATATCTTATTACATTCCCCTATAATCACCTCTAATCAGCTCCCTTCTCTATCTGGAGGTCATTTTAGTATTTCCAGTGCCCAACATATACTCAATAAATGTTTACTGAATAAAGAAAATATGAATAAATAAGTGGTTAGGGCAGAACTTGAGAGAAGTTTAAATGTCTCCCATCCCCAATACCCAAGGGAAATGTGTTCTTTTTGTCTTCAAGTGCCACAAGGGTCTGGGATGAGCTGGAACCACTTGTATTGGCTCATATGAACTAATTGTTATATTTTCAGGAATTCTGAGAGCTGGCTGTCAAACACAGCTATAATTAAACATTGAATTAAAT